TATATATATATATATATATATATATATATATATATATATATATATATATATATATATATATATATATATATATGTATATATATATATGGCCCACTCATTACTTCGTGCTTGTCTGACTCTCGGTGTTGTGTAGACCCTGACATGACAATGCCACCGACAGTGAGAGACGCGGCCCCACTCGATCATCGCCCATTGCGGGATCTCCGCAGGGGACGCCCGATCCTCGCCAAAGCGTCGATCGATCTCCATGTGCAGCGCGAGGGTTGTTGGGCGTTTCACCGCATAGCGGTGGTCCGGATGTCCGTTTGGGGAAAAGGCGCCGCGGTACCGTTTCGCTTGCTACTGACAGCGTCGTAGGCCGGGGCATGACACCCATTTCGCCTTTCGCTGGTGTGTTGGGGGCTTCTCCACCGGGTGTGGCCGGGGTTCGTGACGCGGCCGCGTATGAAGGCGTGTATGGTGGTCCATTGCTGCCATCCCCACTGCTGCCTAGACGGCTGGACTATGCGGCGACGATTCCTTTAGCACCTGTATGATCACATGCGGTGGGCCCACCATGTCCCGCCGGAGGCAGTTCTCTTTCAGGAGATCGCAGCGACGCTTGGCATTGTCCAACCGTTTCACACCCACGAGACGTCGGCGTGGCGGCGGGTTCGTTTGCGGTGCCGCCTCAGGCTCCCTTTGTCGCTCTTCATTCCACACCTTCGTTTGATGATGTGGATAGCTCTGCGGCAGTCGGCGGCACGCCGTGTTCAGGCGGCAACAACATCATGCGTGTGCGTGTGCGGGACGCGTGTCGGAGAAGGTTGTACGCTCTCCACAACGCTATGGCCGGTGTGGGTGACCAATGCGGACCAGTCAGCGACGTTATTGATCGGCTGCTCCACTGGTCCTTGCCAGCCATCCGTGCGGAGTTTGGTGACGAGGTAGCAGATGTGATTTCTTCTTCGTTGCCATTTCGGGTGTGCGGTCGAGATTTCACATTGCGTTATATGCCAGGCGATTCCGGTGTTGACTACGGTCAGGGGGGTTCGCAGGGTTCAGCGAGCGGAGGGTTGGGGGAGTCTCATGACGGATCGCAGAACTCGTTCCCGTCATCGCGTCGTGCATCGCAGCGCAGTGACAGAGGGCGCGGCAGACCCCGCAGCGCGGGTCGCTGCACACCGACACCTGCCCGGCCGCAGACGTGGTGGGATAGTTGGGACGATGTTGACCAGTGCGGTCCTAGGCCTGAAATTGACCGTGCTAGTGTTGAGGAGGCGATGGCTAGATGGAGTGGACCGACGGCGCCGGATGTTGTGTTTCTGGAGCTGGTCAAACTTCTTCAATTGCTGGGCATGTTTCATCTATATTGCCCGTGGCGCAAGGGCTCGTGCCGTGTGTCTGTGGAGTCCGTGTCCTATACTGCGTAGCTATGTAAGCCGACGTTCGTATGCGACAAGAAATGCAAATGAACGTGGCACACGACACTCGTGACCATGAACGTCCATCAGTCGCGACTGATGCAACATCTCTTTCATGCGACGGTCACCGCCGGCCTTACGTTCACACTCCTCGACAACTTTTGTGTTTTTAGGGATGTGCTCGGTGCACAAACCCACATTCTACAAGTTCATGCGCACAGAACCGGGGGGGGCGGAGGGGTGGAATGCCAAGGTCGTACGATAGGGCATAAAATATTGCGAGCTTGCCATTGACACTATGATGCGCCGTGGTGAGCCAGTGACATTGATGGTTGATGGTCGATATGACTCTGCCAGAGGCGCGCAACATCGCACTGTCACCGCGATGAAGTACGAGACTCGGCTTGTTGTAGGTGTTCACACTCTCCGTCCGAAGATTGGAGGCAAGGCATCGAATGCGCTTGAGGTGCCAGCCGTCGTGCAACTTTTCCGAGGGCTGATGGACAAGGGGTTGAAGATCCGGTGCGTTGTCTCGGATGATTGCGCCGCGCTGGGACCGAAGTTGCGAGCTATGAACATGGAGTGGCAGAAGGATTGTCACCACAAAATAAAAAACATTCGCAAGCACCTCCATAGTATGCTGCAACTGAAGGAAGCGAAGAAAGTGAGCAGCCCGCACGACTGTGTGTCAGAGGCGCAGTTTATGCAGTTCACGAAGAAGCGGCTAAAGGAGGCGTTGGAGCAGCGTTTCGGACCTGACGTCCTCACACTTGCTGAGGAGCGGCAAAAGAAATCGGATTTCGTCGTTGTCGTCATGCGAAAGATGTACCCCTACGGATCGAGGTTGAATCCTCGAGCGTTGGAGACTGATCCAGACGGCTTGACAGAGTATCATGCGCATGAGGTTGGGATGTGGTTCCTCCGCGCTTGCCAGCTGTGCAGGGACGAGGGCAGAGACGCCGACAGTTTACACCGCGACATCATGTTGGTCGCCGATCATTGGGGTGGTGATCATTCAGGATGTGTCGACGGAAGGGAGGTTCTGTGCGAGAAGGCCGGTGGGCGTGCACGATTGCCTTTGTATAACCGCACGGACACGGTCTACGAGCTCGTTCAGCGTGTTCTCGATAAACAATGCAACACTAACATCACGTCGTACTACGTCAATTTTTGGCACACGTCGGCGGTGGAGACTTTTCAGGGCACCATCATTATCTATGCGAAGAAGTTGGTGCATTTCGAGAAGTCTTTCTGTGCACGTTTGTCGATCGCAGTGATTTGGTGGAACAGTCACTGCTGGCGCGACCCGGTCGGGAATGTTGCTCGCATTGCTGCGGGCACTTCCAAACGTGCGAGACCAGACTTCCGTCGACACTACGGTCACGAGGCGATCGATTGTGGAGAGGACAGATTGGCGGCGTCAGTGTTCGGTTCGGCTCATGTTTCAGACTGGGCTCGAGAGCTTGTGCGGCAGGAGGTTTGTCCTTATGGAGATGGGTCATTGTCGTGTGATTTGTTCGTCAACGGTGGGGGCGACCCAGTGGAAGTCGTTGATGATGTTGTCTCCAGTTCCGACCATGAGGCGGTGGGGGAGAACCATGTTTTCATCATCGGTCACGTGGAGGACGATGTGGTGCCTGCATGAGATGATTGGGTCCACACATCGAGCTCCAAATCTGAGGGTGACGATATAGAGTTGTTCAGCGTTTGACTGGTTGAATGGCTTTATCATTGACCTGACGTTGGTCTGGTGATCCGAATTTCATTGAGCATGGCGTTGTTCATACACATTTCATGGTGTCTATCTCTTTGCCAAGGTTGAATGGCTTTATCGTTGACCTGACATTGGTCTGGTGAGTATATATATATATATGATTATAATTTGTCCGTCTCTTTGCCTGTATATATATCTATTTTTGCTCAGTCTGACTGCCAAGACTGATGACGAGGCTGTATACTACCCCGTAGGGTTACATTTATAATTTTGTTGGACTGAGGGCTAATTGTGAGAGGAACCTGTGAGGAAAATTCGTGAGGGCCATAGCTGTAAATATGGGAAATATAGGCCCGACAGTATTTCGAATTTCCTATACATACCCTTGCTGCGAATAGCAGGCCCGGACTACCCCCAGGACAGACAGACCCTAATGGCCTAAGCTGATAGACAGTTTTATAGCCTATAGTCGGGTCCGGTAGAGGCCGAGAGGCCGAAACTGCAACGGTATTGGTCGGTTTGTCAGTCCGGTCTAGGTGTAGGTTAGATTGGGGAGTCCAGCGCTAGGTGTACTGTACTGTATTAGAAGAATGAGGGAAATCAATTGGGAAGCAAGGGACTGGAACAAACTCTGTTATGATATTCGTTCGAGTTGGCTCATCATCAGCAACATATCAATTGTGATCTTACTAAGGTTCTTTATTGTGATTTTTTGTTGGGAGTCTGTCGGAGAGTGAGAGTCATTGTGTCACCTCCCCCATGTGTGCATGGTTGAATTCCGCTGCTTATCCTTGTATATGTGCAGTTTTGACCATGTCACCTCTCCCCCCTCTTCTTATGCATGTGTCGGCGTCTTTGAGATTGTCTGTGTGTGAGTGCCGGGAAAAATCGTCCGAGCGTATGAGAAGGGACGAACGCCCGAACCCAAACGCCCGAACGTATGGGACCCCTTGGGGATGCGTTCGGCCGTTCGGGCCGAACCCGGACACAAAAAAAAAAAAAAACAAAAAAAAAAACAAGGTCATCTAACAAATCTGAAAAAAAGATATGTTATGGAGAAAAATACATTAAACAAGATTTGCTCGAGCATAACGTCCAAAATCCCTACCGAATTTGAAATAAAAATAAAATATACAGAACAAATACTAATAATAAAAATAAATAAAAATAAAAAGAGAATTAAATTTAGTGAGTGCGCGAGCATGTTTTCGACACCGCCATCTTTGGCGATTTTTCATTTTTTTTTAAGCATAGCTAAATGCCCTGAAAATTAACAGATGTGTACATCACATAATAAAAAAACCACTCAAAAAGTTTCAAAAAATAATAAAATTGTCTAGACCCCAAACTAAAGTGAAAACAAATTGTCAAAGGTGAAACAAAACGTGGGCGAGCACGTTTTGACATCGCCATCTTTGACGATTTTTAATTCTTATTTGGCTAAGCCAAATGACTTTAAAATTTAAAGGCGTGCACCTCACGTCATAAAGAACTCATAAAAAAAACTTTAGAAACAAATAATTATTTTTCGGCCCCGAAATAATTTTTGGCAGGGGCCGAACGCCGTCGGGTTCGGACCCCGTACGGGACCCCAAACGCCCGAACGTACGGAGGTCCACCCGGGGACCTCCGTACGTAC